AGTTAGTGCAAAATAATGTCACCTTATAAATGTGATATGACAAATTTTCTAAAATAAATGAAATGTTTTGATTGCTTAAGTTAAAATTAAATAATTTTCATTTTTAATAAGAATCAAAAAGTTTATGTCTTATGTGAATAAATTCTTATTATATAGAAAGAATTCGAAATTATAAATGAAACAAAAAAATAAACAGACAGAAACAAATTATAAGTATCCTCTTAGCTAACTATTTTTTATTATAATACTGTATATATAAATAAAAGTAGAAGTAAATGTAAAAATGAATCTTTATAAATATGGTTTTAGGTAAAAATCTCAAACTATATTTTTGGTTTAAAGCATCTCCAACCCATCTTTATTTTAAATCTTCTAATCTAGAAGAAAAAAATGTTGTTATGTTTTCCTCTAATTATAGAGGAAAAAATAATAATCTTTTTCTTTCTGTCAAATAGAAATATGTTGAAGAGAAGTCCACTAATATTTTAGAAGAAAAAATAGAAAAATACATTGGAGATGATCTTAATGTTTAATATATTATTAAAGGTTAAGAAAAAAAAGTATTAGTTAAAGAAGACAAAAAAGTAAATAAGAATAATTTTGATCGATTTTATGTTTTTATTTGAAATATTTAAAAATATTATCTTATACATATTAATTCTTTCATGCATATATTTTTCCAACATATTAAAACTATTTCATGAATCAAATTTTGTATATGTTGTGATTCATTATATTATATAATAAAAAATTTTAAAGTTAGAAACAAATCAACTCTTAATTTTTAATAACAATCAAATATTAATATATTATTTTACATCTTAAATCATACATATATAAGCTTAGATCCAATTGGCTTAAACGATTCGGTTACATAGAGTTTGTGAAAGCGAGTGATTGCAGATTATAAAAAATTTGAAGAAGAAATGAGCGGAAAGCTATCAGAGAATTTTATAAAATATGATTTCACAAATTTTATAATATTTTTTATTATATTTTTACTGAGGTGGTTGGTACGCACGAATGTGCGGACCAACCATCTAGCCGCTCTTAGGATAAGTAAATATGGTAAAATTTATTTTGGTTTAATTAGCAATAGGCCAAGAAAAAATATATATTTAAAAATATATATATTGGCAAGATTATATTGTATAAGGAGAAAAAGAAAGTATAGTATAGATAATATTCAAAACATATTATAAAAATTTAATTATTATTTAATATAACTTTTATATTTGCAATTATATGTTACTGTAAATGCTAGGAAAATTAAAAAAAAAATTGAATGACACAAAATAATAGAAAACGTTTGTGTGATTGTTGTTGAACACTAAAACTGTATATGTATAAAAACATAACGTTTACATAATGTATAATAAAATTAATCAATACTTAAATATTACAGCTAATTTTGTCTATTAAAAAAATTATATATGCACATGGGTGCAGACCAAAATAAAAATTAAATAAACTATTATATATTTTAATATTTTCATGTTTATTTAGTTATCATATTAAAAAAAAATTTTATCTAAGGAAATATATTGAAATCTTAATTTATATTTTTATCTTTATTTTCTATTAAAATATATAATATTTTATATTTGATTATATTTATTTTCTATTATTGAATATTTATAATTTGATTATTAATACATAGTTAATTATATACAAATAATATATCTTCAAAATCATAATTGAACATATTAAATATTTTATAGCCTGCACACGGTGCACGCCGATCACCTAATACTTCATAATATGCAAAGCATTTCCTTATCATTCAATTATTATCTATAATATTTCATGATTATGCGAAGAATTTCCTTATAATTATTTGGTATAATTTGGTAAACAATAAAGAAAATTGATAATTTGATTATGTTTTGCTTATATTTTTCTTATATTTTTGTCTAACTAGCTGTGATTAAAAAAAAACAATTCTTAAGAAGTGTAGCGTGTAAATAGTTACATGCATAAATAATGTTTAATAGGTATAGCTTTTTTTTTGGGTGCAACAATAAGTATAGGTTATATATAAATAGTAACATACAAAAATAGCAACTAACAACTCTAGCGACTGGCTCGTGTTTTACTTCTAACTTCAAGTCAATTAGATTATAGCCAATTGTAAAGGCTTTTATGTCTATTAGCACTCAGATCAAATAAAATTATAGCCAATTATAAAGGCTTTTATGTTTGTCATTTTCACAAACTCTTGAATAGAGGTACTAGCTACGACGACAATTCTACAAAATGCAATTTTCTAATATGAATTTTCCTAAATTTAATTGATAGTTTCAACTTTATAAATTATGATACCAAAACTTATGTTAGATAACTCTTAGTTTAAACAAAACCCAAACATTAATTAGGACATAACTATTACCTAATTTTATATAAAAAATTATGTATATGAGTAATATTTTTATTACTAACAAATTGTAAATTGTCTCAAACTCTCAACTGCAACTTGACGACTTTAATTTATCTTATAGGAGTTTCTCGTCTGTAAAGTTTAGAAGACTACTACGTTAGTCATCGTTTTTGTTCGATTTGTTTTTTTTTCTTACTTTATTTTTTAATCTCTTTTATATTTATAGCCAGTGCTGTGCCTACTAACAAAGATTTGAAACATTGGTTTAGAGCATTTTTTTTTTTTTTTGTAAACTGAAAGGACATATTTATAAAAAATATTATTTGGTATGGTTCATTGATAATAAAATTTTCTTGTTGATTTTTTCTAACTTGAATCTAGATCACTACTAATATTCTTAGAATTTTTTTTTCTATAATCACAACTTAAATTAAAAATCAATTAACTACATTAATATCCATATTTTTTTTTAAAAAAAATCCTTGAATTCCTTCTTTTTTTGTTATTGTAGTTTATTATTTTTTATTTATTCTAAATTTATGAAATGATATTTTTAGTAAAAATTTAGAATGTATATTATTTGTACTAAAAGCTATCTGTATATATGTTATTTTATTACTAAACAATTAAATTAAAAAAACTAAAATATTATTTTTATTTGGTATAGGCATCACAAAATCATAACCAATTGTGAAGGCTTATATGTATATTAACAGTTAGATAAAGTAAAATTATAGCAAATTTTAAAGGTTTTTTATTTTTGTCAACTTTAATTAGATAACATTATTTGCTTGTTTTTCCGTGAAGATCTTTTATCATCAATGTTTTGTGGGCTTTATTCAAACCCCCTATAAGATCCAATTTTGGGATTTTTCGAAGAGAATCCAAATTTGGACTTATGGGCTTTATTAAAACTCCTCACAAAATGGGCTTTACGAATCTGGGCTTTTCACTTCTTGATATTGAATATCTTTTTCTTTAAATTTTTTCCTTATGTTGTTGTCTTAAATGCTTCTCATACACTTATTCACTTCACATTCACATGAGTATCTCCAATCTACCTCTATTTTAGAGGAAAAAATAGAGTTTAGAAAAAAATTCTCTGCAATCCACTTCTATTTTTACCTCTAATATATAGGTTGCTATATTTCCCTCTATATTTGGAGAAACTCTATTTGTTCCTCTATAATAGAGATGTATTTTTTTATTTATAAACTGGTCCCTTAACTTTTACATCTTTTTATTTTTATTTATATAACAAATAAAAAGTTAAATTAAATATTTTCATAATCTAGTTTGTATATATCCAATAAATAGCCATATATCTAACATATAAATTTAATTAAATTATAAAATATTATCTAACTTTAATAAAGTTTAATAAAATCAACATCATTTCAGACAATAACTATTATAGAAAAACAGAAAACATTATTTACTTTAATTAACTATATAATTTATAAATGAAAGTGGTTAATCCACAATAAAAAAATGAACATGGATAGCAATATAGTATACACATGTACAATAATACGTCAATAAAATTACATTATACAGTTTTGTATGTTATTAAATACAAAAACCTAATAAATAAATAAATTTAATAATTTTTGTTAGGGTTTGAGAAAATTTTGTGAACATATAATATAACTAAATTGGAAAATTCTCATTTATTTCAAACTAAATTATAAATAAAATGATAAATTACAATAATTTTTTAAAAAATACAGAAAATTATAGAAAATGATAAATACTATAGTGATTTAATAAATGTTTTGAAAATTATAGAAAATTACAAATACTATAGTTATTTTGAATTTTGTTTTATGAAACAAATGTTTAATTTTAATATATTATTTATTATTTATGGAAATTTTTGTAAACAATAATATAAATGGGTTAATTTGTGAATTTTATGAAAAGAAGATGTTAATAATAAATTATAAATAAAATATTCTTAAAATATTCCTTTTAGAGGAAAAAATAGAGGAATACATTGGAGATAACTGCACCTCTATTTTAGAGGAAAAAATAGAGGAACATATTGGAAATGGTCTTAGCAAGTAGCAAGAACAACAAGCTTTAAAGTTGTCTATAACTCTTAACATATACACTTTTTCAGGAGATTGTCCCTCAAGCAAGAAACGTCGAATCCTCCTAAGTAATATTCCAATTTTAAAAAATTCCCTCATATGAAAATTTCCATTTGTATAACTATTATCCAAGAGCCACGAGATTTAAGATACAAACCAATGTAGCTAACATAGTATCTAGCCATGTCTATTACTATAACTAGACGAGATCGAATATAGAGAACATGTATCATATCATACCAAACTTAGGTTACTCAATATTCTTTTTTAAAAGTGAACTTGATGCTCGAATTTTAAATATTTGCACTTGCATGTATAAAGAAAAGCAATACACAGTTAGATACTTAGTTGTCAATTCTTTTCTTCCCAAAGTATAATACCCATTCCATTTTCCAAGGTATCTTTTGCTTTATTCTTAACTATCACCAAATTTTACTTTTTGTTAACTACATAAACCTCACTAGTCACAAACTCATTCACATTATTTCATATTACTTCACATGATCTACAAACATTAAAATCACAAAACAATGCACAACAAGGACTCTTTACCGGTCCGAACCAACCCATCAACCCGACCCATAGCCCGTCACCACTCCGCGAGCTACATTGCTCATCGGGTCAAAGAAAGCCTCACAACAAGAGTCTCTAAACTCATTTGTGCCATTTTCTTATCTCTTTTGCTATGTTTAGGCATTGTTTTTTTCATCCTATGGATCAGTCTACGTCCTCATCGACCCCGTTTCCACATCAGCGGGTTCTCTCTTCCCGGTTTGGGTAAACCAGACGGTTTTGAGACCGCTCATATAAGCTTCAAGATAACGGCTCATAACCCAAACCAAAACGTTGGCGTCTACTACGACTCCATGGACGGTTCCGTTTTCTACAAAGAGAAACGGGTCGGGTCGACTAATCTCACTCACCCGTTTTACCAAGACCCGAAGAATACGAGCTGGATCGAAGGAGCCTTACGTGGGCCAACAATGGCAGTGAATAAGGACCGTTGGATGGAAATGGGACGAGACAGGGATCAAGGGAAGGTAGTGTTCCGTTTGGAGGTCGTGTCCGTGATACGATTTAAGGTGTATACGTGGCACAGTAAGAGCCATAGGATGCACGCAAACTGTTATATTGAGGTTGGCTGGGATGGCATGTTGTTGAGTGGGACCAAAGACAAGAGATGTCCGGTTTATTTCACTTGACCAAATGTGTCACAATTATGATTGTAATAATATTTATTTTTTTCGATTAATATGATTCCATTTTGATTAGTTCAATATCAATGTATCCTAAATCCTAATCATTTATTTTATGATGATTTAAAAAAATTATCCTGAATCTGTTGTTTCGTGTTTATTTAATTTGGGTGTAACATTCGGCCTATGATGACCTGTATGATATTTTTTTAGTTATCCTATAATTCAACGTTAATGTTTATATAACTATCGTTACCTAATGATTTGCACCATTTACGCGCTTATGTTTATGTTGGCATGTCGTTAGACCTGTAATCAAGGATAGTTATGTATATCTTACGAGCTTAAACTATTTAATTAATAATAAGTAACATGAAGAGAATTAGTAGACCCAGAGCCGTGCCTTATGTATAACAAAAAAAGCATTTGCCTCAGGTTTGAAAATATATAAATTTCAAATGAACCCAATTTTTAAGAATACTATGTGTCAAAATGGTTCTATTGATTGAGTCTCAATCATAAAAACTCAATTTCGACTACTTGCTAAAATGTTCTTTATTTAAAAAATTAAATTCCAATTGTTTTTCTTTTAATATATTTTTTCTATTATTTGTCACATATTTCTTTTACCTTTTATTTATTTATAGCAATAAACATAATTCAATGTTTCTAAACTTGTATTGAATACCTACAAAATATACTAATGCTCATTTAATTTTAATCATTACTTTAAAAAAAAATATAACTATAAAACATTAAAATATATAAAAAGTTAAAACTATATTATATTATTAAGAATTTATACTAAAAAAATTATTAAATTTGCCTCATCTTCATTTGAACCTAGGCACGGTACTGTAAACCTTAACATTTTTTTAATAGATAAGTTATTTGTGAATTAAAACAAAATCCCAAAACAGAAAAATGAAAAAATGTAAAATCAATAAAATCATCTTATGGTATCAATCATATTATTAATTGAAAAGCAAGTTGGGCTGTGGCTGAGAGTTATGATTGGTTGATTACTTTTTACCTCTTATGTAAATTTACTTTAATTATCCTTAATAAAATTAATAAATTAATATAATCTAATTTTTAATTGATTTTTTTTTTAAAAAAAAATCTAAATTCCAAATTCGAGTTTATATAATAAAAATATTCAGTTTACTAATAAAGGTAACTAGCATAAATAAAAAAAATCCTAATTATTTTATTAAACTAATTTTAATTTGATTATTTAACCTACTAATATTTTGATATATGCGACCATAAGTAAACCTCTAAATCATTTCAACCCTTTTAAAACTATATATATATATGTATATATATTAATTAATGTTAAGTTGATATGAAACAAATATCCTCTGGTTTTGGTCATTTTAGATTGCTATATTTTTTTTTATGCAAACTTTGAATTTCTTTAATCTTAATCTATTAATTTACATCAAAAATAGAGAATTATTTATCATGTTTGATAAATGCAACAATACAACAAAGCATACATATAAGTTTTTATTGGATAATATAAAAATATTAAAAAGTAAGATATAGATAATATATTTTGCTTTATCACAAAAAAACAATATACTCATGATTATTATATTTTTTCAAATATATTAAGTTTAGTTTCGAATCATTATAAAATCCGAATTTTTTTTATCGATAAATAAATTAATATTATACTTTTTAAAAAAAAATAATCGAACCCCGCACAAAGTACGGAGAAACACCTAGTTTATAATAAGTAACATGAAGAGAATTAGTAGACTTTAATTTTTTTAGGTATTTGTAAATAAATAAAAAACTCAAAACAGAAAAAATAAAAAATGTAAAATCAAGGAAATCATCTTATGCTAAATTTAAATTCGCTTTTATCAAATATATAATTTTAGTCTTTCTTACCAGAAGATTTGTTTTTCTTCATTTTTTCCAGACTAGTTTTTGCCACGACAGTAAAATTACTTATCTTTTTAAAATAGTAATAAGTAAACACATGATTCTCTAGAAATGTCAAAATTTAATAGTTCATCTTTCATACTTTTTACTGTACGGAAATTAGATTTAAAAGTTTCTAATTTCTTTAATTGAAGTAACACTGAATAACTAAACTGTTGTACAGAAAAGTCAAATTGTTGTGAAACCAAAAAAAAAAGCAAAAACAAAATTGTGAGAACGTCGATATAGTTGAATATAAGATAGATTGGGGGATTGTTTCATTGCAGTGGTAAGTAGTATATTGTTTGATATAGTTCATAGTAACTAATCACAAAATCAAGATTAATTAGCAATTCTTATTTATACATCATAAATTTCAAATCGAACAACCTGGCCCAAAGTTGACCAAGAGAAAAAAAAAAATCATAGGTTAACAAAGTATATACGTACATTTTTAAAATTAAGGATATGCTAACCAAAATAGTGCATATCCAAACGATATATAAGAAGAGTCAATTCAAATCATATTAGCTCGTTCTTAGTTGATGACCACAAAAGATGAAGATCTCTCTCCTTCACCCATCAAAATTCATGTCATTACTCTCCTTCTTCTTCATTTTCTTACTCATCAAAACCCTAAATGCACAACCAACGTATCTCCTCAGCTACTGCTACAAATCCGGCAACTACACGGCGAACAGCCCGTACAAATCCAATCTAAATTCTCTCATGTCCGTTCTTCGTTCTCAATCATCCAACAAAGGTTTCTACAGCTATGCATCTGGTTCTTCTCAGACCACAACGGTCTATGGCATTTATCTATGTCGCGGAGACACCTCATCCTTAACATGTGAAACATGCATCTCAAGAGCTTCCAAAAACGTTCTTATTGGATGCCCTGTCCAAAAAGAAGCTATCATATGGTATGAAGAATGTTTCGTTAGATACTCCAACAGTCAGATTTTCTCCATTTTTGATTATGGACCGTTCGTTACATGGACGACCTACAATACCATGCAGTATCCATCTTATTTCATTGATACAGTGGAATATCGTATGGACCGGCTGATACAAGAAGCCTACTCGAGCTCTTCGTATTTCGCGGAAGAGACATATCATGTGAGTTTTCTTGGAGAGGTTTATGATCTGCACGGATTGGTACAGTGCACGCCCGCTCTAAATCAGTACGATTGCTACAGATGCTTGAAATGGGCTTATAATGAGACTGAGGATTGTTGTTATGGAAAACGTTTTGGCTTGGTTTACTCTACCGATTGTATGTTGACGTATAAAGCCAATTTATTGGCGTCACCACCGCCTCCTCCTTCTCCTCCTCCACCTCCGCCACCGCCATTGAGTCCCTCCAGCAGGAATGATAGTCCCGATTCCGACGATTCATTTTCGTTTAAATTAAAAGGTGATAACTAAATACTATAATAATTATACCTTTTGATGTTTCTCTTTTTTTGTGTGTGTGTATGTTTGTATTTATATTTAACTTTGCGTACACATGTGACTAAAGTCATTGCACTATGCAAATTTAGGAGAAGTAGCAAACTAAAAATGATATTCGCTTTTGAAAAACCATTTCTTAATTTTTACTTTTGAAAATTAACACAATTATTCGCTTTATAGTAGATTAACACAAAAATTCTCTTTTGAAGACCCATTTCTTAATTTCATCTGAAATAATTTTGACCAGAATAAAACTTTGATCTGAAATGATACTTGACCCAATTTTATCACGTCTCACCTTTGCTGTACTTTGACATAGATTTTTGGTTGCATGCATGAAGGTAAAGTATTTCGAAAAATCATAGCTCCGGTGATAGCTGCGGTGGTAATGATCTTGGCGATTTGTGTGTGCTCTCTCTGTTGTTGTTGCTTTAAGAAGAAGAAAGAGGTCGAAGAAACAGAAGCATCGACGACCAACGTTGTTGAAAATCCTACGGTTGATCAGACAATAACCAAAACCTAATCACAATTACCAAATTAACTAGTTGTTGTTTTTCTAAAATTATAGATTTGAAGTACAACGTTATGTTTAAAAATGTGTGATTGATAACCGTTGGAACCAAAGTATTTATTATAGTTATACGCTTAATTAATTGCCAAATTAATATGTATATGTGTTTCTTGGACACTACTCCTATAAATGGGTGATTTTGAGCTGAAATTTAAGCTAATATCTCTTATCAAATTAAAAAAAAAAAAAAAACTATTCTAAACCGTCGGTGTTACTTTTCATGGGATACAGAAATTGATTACTTCACCCGATTAACTCAAATGATTATCATTAAACTAACGCTAGTTGGTTTATGCGAGTTGCGTGTAAACCTTACTCTTGCAAGCATTCTCTTTGCATAAAAACGTACTGTATATAACCATTTCATAAATAATACTAATGATTAAATATTAGCAAACACTCATCACGTACACAATTAATTATACACATTCTTATAATGACAACGTTACCAATTGATTTGCATCATTATTATTTATATGGTTATTACTCAATATATGAGTAAGTTCCCAAGTTGTGTGGATTTTGATTATTAAAATGAAAAAAAAGGTACATTTCTCTTAGATTCAAATTGAATCCATCATGCGTGGTATTTTATTATTTAGCTCAAAAATTATCCTTCTTACTAAGAAAAAAGAGAGAGAGGGTTTCATCGTACAAAGGTTTTCCTGAAATGAAACACGAATTCAAATTCAACAATATCCAAATAATACTTTTTAAAACTAGGAGAATCTTATGCCTAAGCCCATACTTCTCTGGGTATGTAGAAGTTTCTAACCATTCAGAACATCTACAGTCACCAACCATAGTTGAAATCACAATGGGAGATACGAACCATGAACCCTCATCTAAATTAACCACCATAAATTGGTTAATTAACACCATAATAACACTTTTCTAAATTTAAACTGCCACATGTATATACTTTTAGTTTTACCTAAATTCTTCTATGAATATGTTGATGTGTTGGTTTTATTCTTCAATAAACCACTAAAGCATGCTGGTATTCGATTAATATGAACGCAAGCGGAAATGTTCCTGACAATTCCATAGCTTAAATTAGAAATACTTGGAAAAAAATTGAAGCTGAGTATAAATAAAATAAGGTAGTTATATGTTGTTAATTCAACAAGTAATTTAAGAAAACGCATGCATCTATATATGATATGATTTTGAATAACTGGGTTTGATAATGAGAATGAATCATTGATGACTTTTAGAGACGGCACATATACGTGTCGTTGTTTAATATGTTGTATATATATTATAAATAAGCTCTCACAGCGATTGAATATTATATAGCTGGAATGTTGGATCATAGTACAAGCTGCACGACCCAGGAGACTTTCCAAGAGCCAGATACTAAAATATCTGAACATTTGGACATTACAATAATGTTATTACGAATGTAAGATTACGACTTTAAACAAAAAGTGCACAACACTTTTGATAATAAAATGAACTGCATGAAAAATAGCTTACGATAGTTGTTCTAGATATTTTAAAGAATGTTATCATGATTGTTTGGTCTCGTTTGAAATAAGAACAAAATTATATGTACAGCTTTTTGCAAGAAAAATTTAAGTCTCCTTTAAGGCTTAAACAAAATATGGCTTGATATATATATATATATACTAGTTAAAATACAACTTGTATAGTTTTACAAACAACAATTGAATAATATTAATTTTCCTATAGTCAGGTTTCCACCCCCTACAAAATAAAGCATATATATATATGGAATGCTTGTATCATTTTTAATGTATTCTTTAGTTTGATATCAATCTAGTATATTGAAGATACTATCCATCTGCATAACACTATACATACAATAACACAATATGTCAACGCTTCAAGGAATCCAAAATATAAGTGTTTTTTTTTGGGGGGGTATGAATGTTAAGATCCAAAATAGAAGTTATAGAGGTTCGAAACTTCTTTGCGAAGTCAATCGTAAATTTTTGTTTGTTTGTTTAAAGTTCGAAACTAATCATTACAAAAATGTTTACACACAAGACAGTCGTCCTTTTGGATAGGTGAATAATTTAAAGCACGCTTTAAGATATCTTTTTGGTGGTTGGAGCTTTAATATATCAGATACTATTCGAAGCGCTGGTAGATTGTTGTTCGATCGATATACAGTAGTACGAATGATTTCTTTTGATTGGTGTATTTTACAATATCGGCCTGCAACAATAAACTTATACACGAACTAAGTTTAGCAAACAGGTGTATTTTAATTAGCAAACCTGGTTCAAAAAAAAAAAAAACAATAAACTTATATATACACGAACTAACTTGATTTAGTTATAGATTAATACATAGTGTTTTTGGTTCAGTTACATATTAACTACATATATTAGATGTTTATAACTAGCCTGTAACGTTTGTAAGAATATATACAATGGTTATTTAAAAAAGTAGAAATATACAAAGGTTTAGAGTGAGAAACGTATAGACTGCCTTTATAAAAAAATAATAATAACGTAAGAGACCACAAAACAAATATTTTCATCATTATTCTTTTATATTTTTGGTGCGATCGCTTTTTAATCGAAAGTTTAGGTATCGCTCTTCCTAGAAAAAATTATAAATAATTCAACTATTTTCGACCTAAGGAGAGTATTCAACTATTTAATTGGTTGGTATGATCGTTTTTTGATCCAAAGTTTTGGTAAGATCATTCTTCTTAGAAAAAGTTACAAATAAGTTTTCTATTTCTCTGAATTAAATTTGCTCCCAAATTTTATAAGCTCAACTTTAATATTTATAGCTTCTCTCAACTAAATCTATGACTTAGCTTGTTCGTGTATATAAGTTAGATAGTAAGCCAGGGCACAGAGCGGATATCCGGAATTTTAATGATATCCGTGATTCGCTCCACCCCGTATGGATCAACAATTTTTTGATTCGTATTTGCTCCGCTACTAATTAGATATCCGGTATTCAGATATCCGTTAAAATCTGGATTTTTGACCGGATATTCGATCCGTTTCAAAAATATTAGATTAATTATAAAATAATTAAAATATTTATAAAAATAATTAAAAAGTCAAAAATTAACTCATATATTAATTTTTAAATTGTTCTTTTTAAAATTTATTAAAATTTCGTATTAAAATAACTGATAAAATAAATATAAATTCACAAAAATTTATATATAATTATATTAACTATATATTCTATATGTAATTATTTATATATATACACATATATATGTGTATCGGAGCGGATCAGATATCCGGCTCTTAGAATTTTAATATTTGTGATTTGCTCCGTTTTTAACGGATATCAAAATTTAGTATTTGCTTTGCTCCGTAAAACTACGAATATCCAAATTTTTCGAATCGAATCGAAGCAAATAGCGGATCGAATCAAATATAACGTATAATTTGTCCAGCCCTATTAGATGGAGCCGACAAATAGTATACACATACGCACATACATATGTCTATAACATTATTATCGATTAGTCGTATATGCAAACGGCAAGTTGGTCTACATAATACGAAACATTACAGATAAGTATTAATTTTTGCCAACTCATGACTTTAAGCAAATGTTCAAAAAAAAAAAAAAAAACTCATGACTTTAACTAAAGATATGTATTACAAAACTAAGATATACTATTTCATTGATTTGACAATCACCTGCTTACTTAAATTAGAAAAACAATGGAAATATCATGAGAATGTCTCACTCGGTTCATCATCATTCGATTAAAAATTTACTTATAACCAATTAACTAAAGATACCTGCATGTGGGGTTTTTACGGTATAAATTTTTGCATGTGGGGTTGACGTAAGCAAAACAAAAAAAATATTTGCATGTGGTCGGAACATGGAGGTTTCTTGTAAATCATATAAAATTTTACACTTGACTTGGGCTGTGACTTGTGAGTTTATATTATATAGTATTAGTATGGGTTGCGATATACCAAAATTAATTGAAGCATATTGCAGTTAATTTCACAAAAAGTTATATTAATTATCTCATTCAGGTGATTTACATTTGTATTTGGAATAAGCAATTCATGGTTATCTTGGTTATATATATATATATATATATATAAAGCATGGTTAACTTGAAGAGTCATTTATTTAGATTTCTGGTTTAAAATTGTTATTTTACATTTTACATTTAAAAAAAAACATGTATTTATCTTACAATTGAATGAAAAACAAAATTGGTGGGAGCAAAGAACATAATGCCCACAAAGATCGATGTGGCATGTTTTGAAATTTTCGCCACTTGCCAGAAGTTGATTTGTCCCTTTTTACCTTTTTCCTTTCAATTTGTATATTTAATTTTATTTTCCTTTCTACTTGACAATAATCTCTCTCGGTCTCTCCTATATAAACAGAAATGTTTACACAGGCAGGCACACACACAAAAATCTCAACATTCTTCTAAAATAAACCCCAAAACTTTTAAATATTACGAAAAAACCTCATCATAAAAAATGAGAAACATTTTCGTCCCTGTAATCCTCTCCTTCTTCATCATCCTCTTAACTCCATCAACCGCAGAAGAATCAGAGCCTTCGTCTGTCTTCTCCGTCGATCAAATCCTCAACCAAACCAGCTCATGGCTCGATTTTCCGGCGAAATACAACCAACCTAAAATCGAGTTAACCGCATCAACAATCATCGCCGTCGTACTCTCTTTCATCGCCTCCTCCATCTCCAGCGCAGGAGGAATCGGCGGCGGAGGTTTATACGTTCCGATAATGACAATCGTCGCCGGACTCGATCTGAAAACGGCGTCGAGCTTCTCTGCCTTCATGGTAACCGGCGGATCCGTGGCCAACGTGGGATGCAATCTCTTCGTCAGAAACCCTAAAGCGGGAGGCAAAACCATAATCGATTTCGATTTGGCTCTGCTTCTGGAGCCGTGTATGCTTCTCGGAGTAAGCATCGGAGTGATCTGCAACCTCGTGTTCCCGAATTGGCTCATAACGATCCTCTTCGCCGTGTTTCTCGCGTGGTCGACGATGAAGACTTTCGGAAACGGGATTTATTACTGGAGATTGGAGTCGGAGCTGGCGAAGATCAGAGAATCGAATCGAATCGGAGAAGACGATGAGGATGAGGATAAGATCGAGAGCGCGAAGTTGCCTCTTTTGGGAGATTACGAGAGACGAAAGAGGTTTCCATGGATTAAGCTTGGAGTTTTGGTGATTATTTGGCTCTGTTACTTTGCGGTTTATCTTCTTCGTGGAAACAAATACGGCGAGGTAATAATGCAAAAAAATATTAATTTAAATTTTAATTATACTTTTTTTAATTAAGTGTTGCATTTAATGAGTCGTCGTATTTAACGAGGTTCGTTAGATCAGGTTTGAAAAGTTTTTAGATTGGAATTGACAATATTGACTAGAGAGCAGAGACAAAAAAAAAAGGGGTAAGAGCATTTACAATGCTAAAGAATCTTAATCTTAATATGGTATCTTAGCAAAAGTTATACTCCTAATTTTTAAATTATGAAAAAATTCAAACTAATTATAAAATGACTGAGTTTCCTAAAAACTTAAGAATAGTTTCTTAAACAAGAAATTTAATAGCTGATTTTTCTTCCTCTTTCTTACTTTTTGTTATTTTATTAATTTTTTTGTTAAAATATTATACTAAGAAACTAGCATTGTACATACTCTAAATAAATAAACACAGAGAATCTTAATTTTTTTAAGGAAATGAAATGCAAGAATTGCAACTTTGCAGATATATCCAGAAATTACCTTTATAGTATAATAGTGAAATTAACTTTGTTACAGTTTTTTCAATGAATTAAAGTTTATTTTAACTGGATGACTTGTAGATTTAGTTCACTAAAACTTATAAAACTGTTTATGAAAGACTTCTGAAAAGAAAAAAAACTATGTCGAGAAATGTATGTCATGAATAGTTAACAAATAGAGTAATAGAACGATAGAATATCATTAATAATGATTTTGTAAGATGTCAAATCAAAATTTTGCTTTAAACCATAGGTTAGTCTAGTTGTACTATTTTAAGATTCTATAGCGGAAATGATTTCTTAAAATCGGATCAATTCACGTCTTAAATATTGTTGGTGTGCCTATATATTACAGTATAAGGAACGTAATAATCATGTGATTTGATATTTAGACTATGAAAATAAACTAGCTTATAGAGTAATTAGGTGAAATTCAAGATCAGGTTAAAGGACAAGTAAATTAGTCACGTTTTGAATTCTTCTCATCTACCTTCATGTCTTTTCTGTATTCTTTTAAATTATTTTTTTTTATTTTTATTATTTTGGTAATCACGTGGTGAAGATGCGTTTGAAAAACGATAAGGGCCTATTTTGTTAAAGGCGATGGCGAACTGTTTCACGTGAAGAGAGAGGTGATCAATAATGTGGTTTCTAGATTTTGGTCTTTTCCTATGGAAAATTATAATTTTCGTGTCTTTTTCTTCATACAATCTTCAATAAGATTTTGCACTTTCTAAGATTCCTTACCCTTTCAAGGATGCTTGGGTTAATAATTTTCCTTTCTGGTTCTTGTTAAGAAAGTACAATCTCTTGCACAATATGTTCTTTAGAGACACTAGAAATATGACATGCAAAAAACATATTTGCTTTTTGGATCAACTTATATGTGTAATTAGGGACACTAGAAATGTGACATGCAAAAAATATATATGCTTCTTTGGGGTCAATTTAAGAAAGGAAAAATTTTGGTACTAATTAAATATCTTGAACTTTTATCACTGATAAAGCTTCAGTCGATTAAAAAAAATTATCTTGATTTTTTTTTGGAATTTAAAAGAGCTTTGTTCATTTCGATTTTTTTAATTATTATTATAGGTAGGGTAGATTCTCTTTTGAAAATCTAGATACTGAAACAAATCCCTTTTGAACATTTTCCTGTCATTTTCATTTGGGAATGACTTCATTTTTTAGTCATATATTTATTTTCTTATGTTTCAAAATTAAAGTTTGTTGAAGATCAAACTTTCATGTGTAAATTTCTATAGATCAAATTTTTTTATAGATCAAAATTTAATTTTTGAAGACAAAATAAAAAAGTGTATGACTCTAACTTTAACTTTCATGTCACATTTCTATAGAACTTTCATGTCACATTTCTATAGAACTTTCATGTCATATTTCACAATCATTCGATCTATAAAAAAATCTGCAATCTAAAATTTTTGAAGACAAAATAAAGATTCTGAAAACTCGGTAACCTAGATACATAAATGTTCTAATAAGTGAAAGTGTATGACTCTGTAATTAACGGTATTATTTAAATTTTAAATAAATGACAATGTGTACCATATAGTAATTGTATTAACTCAAGAATTTCAATACTTTTTGAATTTGCAGGGAATCATATCGATCGAGCCATGTGGTATCACTTACTGGCTCATCTCATCAATTCAAATACCACTCACTCTCTTCTTCACTCTTTGGATCTGCTTCAGTGACAATGTTCAAAGCAATCAGTGTTCAGATCACCAAGTCTCAGCAAAGGTTCGATTTCACACAACTCCAACAAACACTTGACTAGTTTTTTGGAAAGACAACAAATAACTGATGAATATCTATCTGAAAACAATTTTCCCCGTGCAGGACGTGGAAGATTTGAGATCAAATGATTGTGGAAGATCAAACAAGTGTATGTTCCCTGTAATGGCTCTATTAGCTGGAGTTTTGGGTGGCGTTTTCGGTATTGGAGGCGGTATGCTCATTAGTCCTCTCCTCCTCCAAGTCGGTATCGCTCCAGAGGTAATTTATAAGTTCATGGCTCAGTAAAAAAAATGCTCTGTTTTCACTAGATCTCAAGCTAAAAGACTCTATTTTTTGGTTTGTTGTAGGTTACAGCAGCGACATGTTCTTTCATGGTTCTGTTTTCATCAACAATGTCTGCGATTCAATACTTGTTACTAGGCATGGAACATACCGGAACAGCTAGTCTATTCGCAGTTGTATGTTTTGTAGCTTCACTAGTGGGACTAATGGTGGTTCAAAAGGTTATAACTCAGTACGGAAGAGCTTCGATCATCGTGTTCTCTGTTGGTATCGTCATGGCATTGAGCATTGTGTTGATGACAAGCTACGGAGCTCTTGATGTTTGGAATGATTTTGTCTCTGGTAGTTACATGGGTTTCAAATTACCTTGTTGAGACCAAACAAATAAAGTTTTGGTTTCTTTGGTTAATAATAGTTTAATAATAGATGTGTATTATTGTATCCATCATGTTATTGCATGTTTTTGTTGCTCTTTGTTCCATTTTTATTATTTAAATTAATATTCAGAATGCACATCTCGTGCATTCGAATACATATGGTCAAAATAAATTATGTTGTAGACCGAAACTCATATTAATATCAAATTATATGCATTTTCTTGAATATTTTAATTGTCACAATTGAGTGTAAATATTAATATATGGGCTTTTTAGCCAAATAACTATATTAAAAAAAGAATCAGAGAATATAGCCATGCTATTCAAAAAATATAAAAAATAACAATACCTTACATAAAAAAGACCAAAAACTCCTTTTGTTTTAAACCGAGAACATCTATAGAAAATAGTTTTGATTATAGCACATGATTTTTTTCCGGACTATACTATAATATATATTCTTATACGGCAAAAACTAATATAGTATAGTACTTGAGATTTTAATTACATTTACTATACTATACTATTTACAAAATAATTACTTCATATAATTTGTATAGTATGATCCAAAGGAAGAAGAAAGAGGAGGGGAAGAAAATGGGAGAATAGAAGAGACAAGGAAGGGAAGGGAAAGAGAGGATATGAGAAGCTGAGAATGCAAGAAAAAGATGAGAATGCAGGGGAAAAAAAGGAGAGGTGAAGAAAATAGTATTTTTGTATATATTGTAAAAGATATAGTCAATATCATAACACCTACTTTCGTATGGTTATTTTACAAATTTAGGTGAATGTTATGGTTATATGTGCCAATTTCTCTTAATATATACCTACTACAAAAAAAAGAATTTTGTCATAACTATAGAAGGGATTTGACTGACTGAAAAAGTATCCGACAACATATTTTTTAACTTAACTGAAGATTTTACCTCTAGAAACTCTTCTCTTTACTTTCTGACACATTCTTCTTTTTTTTACTTTCCGACACACTTGATGGCTTCTGCTTCAAGTACAGAATCTAAATTTCTGGGCTTAGTTTTGCTTTCAGTTTAAACTCACTTATCATTTTGGGCTTTGGTCGTTTGGGTTTACGTTTTCCATTTTATTTTGGGATCAAATTGGTTTATTAATTTCTTTTTATGAAAAATTTAGATAGAATTTTTCCATTCTTCCGAGAATTCTGTGATTTTATTATATACTTTTTTTTATTGATATCGATCAAGTTTCTTAATTAAACTAATAAACCTACGATAATAAAGAAATTAGAATCTTAATTAACCTGACAAAAAAAAAGAAAAAGGAAAAAGGAAAACCCCTAAATATCTAATGGAAGACAGCAAACACTCTCTATAACTAAAGTTCAGACCTTTATATTCTCCTTGGCTTCGCCGTCTCTCAAACCCTAGAAGCTCCTTCTTCGATCCCAATTCACTCTCTCTCTCGAAGAATCCGAATTCGCACTTTGAAAACTCTCCGATGACGAAAAAGCTCAATCCTTTGGAAGATCCACCAACGGCATCTTCAAGCGACGACGATGAAGTTGAGACTTCAGCTGGAGAAGAGGAGGAAGAAGACGTCTCTTCATCGGAAGAAGACGAGCCCGCCAAAGCTCCTTCCGCCGCCGCTGTAACAATCGCCGTTCCAGGCAAAACCACCGTCGCTTCCGCCGCCGCCAAGCATGCCTCCGATTCCGATTCTGGATCGGAGACCGAGACAGATTCCGACTCCGAAACCGAGCATCCCTCGAATCACGGATCTGGAAAATCCCTTACCGCCGCAACCGTCCCATCCGCCGCCGCCGCCGCGAAGGCCAAGAAGAAGGATGTGGAGGCTCCGCTGACAATTGCTTTAGGCTTACAGGCGCCGAAATCGGGAACGAAGCGGCCGAGTGAAGGGACTTCAAGGGAGGCTAATTCAAAGCGAGCTAAGAAGGTTACTTCAGGGGACGACGAGAAGAAGATCGGCGAAGACTCAAAGAAACCTGCTTTTCAGAGACTGTGGTCTGAGGAAGACGAAATCACTGTGCTTCAAGGTATGATCGATTTCAATGCTGATACAGGCAAGTCTCCTTACGAAGACACGAATGTGTATTACGATTTCATCAAGAAAAAGATTAGCTTTGAGGTTAGCAAGAACCAGTTCATGGATAAGATTAGGAGCTTGAAGAAGAAGTATATAGGCAAAGGAAAGACTGCCTTCACGAAACCTCACGATCAGAGATCTTTCAAGCTGTGCCAACACATATGGGGACCTGAAGGAATGGCTCTCGAGTCAGCGGTTAAGTCCAATGGCGTATCGAGAAAGAGCCAGAAGAAGAAGAAGCTTGACTCTGTGAAGCAAGAGCTGTCTTTTGCTTCTTCCCCTAATGGCAAAACGGTTGATGATGATAAAAAAGTGTTGATCCATGGAGGAGATGTGGAGTCTTCGGTTGCTGCGAAGAAGCATGATTGGTTCGAGAGCTCGTTTCTTGTTCGCGCCATTGCCGGTTTGGGAGTTGATGAGTATACTGTGAAACAGAGGTGGAGCTTGGTGCCTGTTGAGACGAAGAAGAAGGTTGAAGAGAAGATGAAGATGTTGCAGGCCAAGGAGATTGATTTTGTGTTGGAGAAGACACAGTTTTTGCATGAGGTTACATCGATGATCGCTGAAGCATCTAAGAAGAAGACATTAGATATATAGATTTGATCCGAAAATGCCAATGCCAATGCCTCTCTCTTTTGTTTTTTGAATCTTAGGAATTATCTCTTTTACTTCCCTTTTATGATCTATCAATCTATGTAATTTTTCTGGTTTTTCTGGTGGTTTTTAATATGGAACTCTCTCTCTTTTGGATTTGTTGCTTATACATAAAAGCACCATGGAAGTAAATTCTACATGGTGAAATATGAAGAAGATCCAAACAAACTGTTTTTTTTTTTTTTATGAAATGGGTTTATTCAGGATGAATTTTGTTGAATTGAGGCTAAAAAATTTTGGTGTTCTCTAAAACAAAAAGTTAAATGAAACTTTCAGCTCAAAGATCAAATTGGTTGAAGAAAGCAAAACTCTTTTCACAAGTAGATGATATCAAATCAGCAAGTCAATTAAAAGTTTGACTCTTTTTTTGATTCTTAGGTGAGAGAGTTAGTTATTAAAGAAGAGGAAGGTAACACAAAATTAGTTGCTTCAAAACTCACGTGCTTACCTTCTAAAAAGACTTTTTGATCAATGGTTGTACCAAATGTGCAAGACCATAAGCTTTGCCACTATAAAAACGAGTGCTAAGGCCATAAACTCATAACAGTCAGATCTAAATATCTGTGTTTAAGAACTAGTATCAGATGACAATCTTGGATCAGACCGTTGTAACAACCGGATCGAAGAAGGCTTGTGTCATCGGTGGCACAGGAAACTTAGCTTCTACTCTCATCAAGCATTTGCTTCAAAGTGGCTACAAAGTTAACACTACAGTTAGAGATCCAGGTTCTTCATTTCTTCTTTCTTTCTTCTCTTGAGGTTCTTTGAGTGTTTAGTGACTCTTTTATTCTGAATTTGCAGAGAATGAGAAGAAAATGGCTCACTTAAGGGTACTTCAAGAACTTGGGGACCTCAAGATCTTCAAGGCGGAATTTACTGATGAAGAGAGTTTCGATTCACCAGTTTCGGGCTGTGATTACGTTTTCCATGTCGCAACGCCTATCAACTTTACATCTGAAGATCCCGAGGTCTGATTTTCAACAGATTGTGTATGTTTTTTTTTCTCTGACTCTTAAGAGAAACGTTTTCAGCTATCCTTTGTTTGTGTTTCCATGTACAGAAAGACATGATCAAGCCAGGGATACAAGGAGTGACCAATGTGTTGAAATCTTGCTTAAAATCGAAATCAGTCAAGCGTGTGATCTACACTTCTTCAGCTGCTGCGGTTTCCATCAACAATCTTTCTGGACCTGGACTTGTGATGAACGAAGAAAACTGGACTGACCTTGATTATCTCACAAAGGAGAAGCCGTTTAACTGGGTAATTTACAATTTCTTGCGAGCCAAGATAGGGTTTACTTGGACCAGTTTACTTACTACATCTCTGTTCTTTTCTAGGGCTACCCAGTGTCAAAGATACTAGCAGAAAAGGCAGCTTGTAAATTTGCGGAAGAGAACAAGATCGATCTAGTTACCGTGATTCCGGCACTCATATCCGGAAAATCTCTCCTCTCGGATCCTCCTCCGAGCAGCTCATTTCTCTCTATGTCTTTAATCACCGGTAAACACCAATTTTACTGTTTGACTCCTTCTGTTAAAGTTTCACAATAAGAAAGTCAAAGATGAATGGTTTTTTTTTGTTAGGGAATGAAATGTATCTGAAAGGTCTCAAGGAAATGCAGAAGCAATCTGGCTCCATCTCGTTCAGCCACGTGAAGGATTTGGCTCGTGCCCATTTGTTTCTTGCGGAGAAAGAAACTGCGTCTGGTCGTTACATTTGCTGTACTTACAACACAAGTGTTCCGGAGATTGCAGATTTTCTCAGGCAGAGATATCCTAAGTACAATGTGCTGTCTGAGTAAGCATTTATATCCACAGAAACTGAAAATCTTAATGGAAAATTCTGAATTTTCTCGTTAATTTTCGCTGTGAAATTTGGCAGATTCGAAGAGTGCTTATCAAGTGCGAAGCTGACGCTATCTTCGGAAAAACTCATCAATGAAGGCTTTCGATTCGAATATGGGATTAATGAGATCTATGATGAGATGATAGAGCACTTCGAGTCCAAAGGATTAATCAAAGCTAAAGAATCTTGAAATTTATAATGTGAAGATATGGATTTATGAGTATATGAGTCTTTGTTCTCATTCTCATTCTATAAATGGCATTAAATAATAAGTTGGTTGATTTGATATGTATTTTGATATACACACCTAGAAAATGAAAAACAAGATTTTTCAAGCTTTATATTACTCTACGAAGCTGATTAGTAATTTTACTTCTAAGTTTCTCACATTTCACAACTACCTTTTTTCTTTCCCATGTTATAAATATATAACTTTTTTTTCAGCATAAAAAGAAGTTGTGGAAAGAATGCGACGAACTATTTTACCAAAAAAAAAGGTGACAATCTACATGGAAAAAAGTAAATAAAATGTGTTAATAAACTTTCGATTTAAACAAGTTGTGTATTTACATACAATTGATATATATATATATAATACTTTATAATACTGTATTCTTTTATCAAAAGGATATATACTGTAATATTTAGCAAATTATACATAAAACTATCAAATTAAAGAGTATGATGTATTCCACTGAAAACATAAAAAATGATATATGTAGAAACCAACCTGAGTGTATGCGCGTGGATATTCGTTTAGTAATAATGATAATGATATGAGTAGACTATATTACCTAAAGCCAATCAACATATGACCAATCTACAAGCTCGAGCTTTATTAGATCAAAACATAAAAATTGGTATATGTAGAAATGTTGTCTAAATTAAACCAAGATGAAAAACATGAGAAAACATTAAAACATCACTTTTTATTCTTGGTGATTTGTTATTAGAACTCCGAGCAAAGAACGAATCTGTGAGGACATCATGCATGTATGTCTTACTCAGCGTAATAGGGACATTGTGCAAGTCACTGCAAGAGATCTCCAATGATGATCTAACGGATCCAAGAAAGTAAAGGAAAAGAAGAAGGAAGAGCAGATTGGTGAGACTCGGATCCAAGAATTAGAGGAAGATCTGAAGGATCTGAAGCGGATGTGCACTGTTCTAGAAACCTTTCTAGGGAAAGAAAAGGCAAATGTGTTTGAAGCCAGAGCCCCTGCTATGACGTTAGATGAGTTGTATAATGACTTAGGTTCTGCATGATGCGTTGTGGTATTGTATGTTCAGGGCCGGCTCTAAGATTATGGGAGTTTGAAACAAAATAAAAAATAGAAACTAAAATTTTTTATTGTAAAACTTTAATAAAACAATAGTTTTAAATATAGAAAATACTAAACTTTTAGTAAAATACAAGTTTTTTAAAAAAACAAACAATAAAATTATTTCTTTTTTTTATATATAAAAATTAATCCTCAGTATGATTTAAACTACAAATTAAAAATTAACTTTAATGATCACTAAAAATATGATTTGTTTGAAAATAATATTGACTTAAAAAAGGAAAATTAATTGTGGAAGAAAATATCTTCAATTAAATCCACTAATTTTATTTCCTTTTTTCAATTCTGCCTTTACTTAAATAAAAATTCATAATTTTATCATTTATTTATATATATATCTACTATACATTAAAGTAGAAACATTCCTGACTATTTTTGCTGAGGTGTCAACACCAGGATTTTTCTGAGAATTAATTTTTATTTAATTTACTAATTAGAAATGCATTATTTATTTAATAAAAATTAAAAACGAATTAGATTAATAGTTTCCATAAAAATATCCGGATCCTACAATATTTTTTCTATTAAATGTAAAAATCTATTTTACAATATCTAACTAATCAAATTAATGACAAATTTTTAAGAATATTTTTAATTTAGGATAGCATTTTTGTGTTATGGATATTCCTAAATAAATAGCTAAAAATTTATAATTAAGTAAATACAAGATATCTAATATTAGAAAAAGAAATATCTATATCAATATAAACGTAATGAAATTTAGAAATTATAAGATTTGACAAAGAGTATTAATTGAACACTAAAATCGCTAAATACACTACAATAAACATATTTACTTAATTGAAATCTTATTTTCTTACAATTTCAAAAATATTTATTTTCATAATATCCACTAATTAACATTTAGATCCTAAATTATATAAAAAAAGTTCGTAAGAAACTTAATAATATATAATATTTCTTAAAATCAAACTTTATTGTATTATATTTGACTACCAATTATACATGGCAAAATATTTTCCATGAATAAAAATAAAATTTAAATTTGGTTATGCAAGTCAAAATGATCAAAAGCAGCATGCACAAAATAGATACAAATATATGGTATAAAACTAATATAAATATATATAAATTAAAATAAAATTAATTTATTTTTTTATTAATATTTTTAAACATACTATTTAACAATTATTTTATGATAAATATTACTCCGCACGAATATGCAGATAGTAAGCTAGTATATATATATATAAAAAAAAAATTAGGGGCCTATGGCCAATGTTTCAGTGGGCTTTAGAGTCCTAACATAGAAAGCATGAAAGCATGCAAACTGAGTTAGAAAAAAAAAGAAATCTAATAAAAAGAAAAAAAAAGTGACGGTGTAGAGCTAATAAAGTCTAGATTATTTTCTTCTTTCTACTTGGCCCTCGATCAATTGGCGTTAATAATTACTATACTAGGTAATAACTCGCACCCTGTGCAGAATGAAATAATTATTATTTATTTAAATCTAATATAATTTTAAAATCATATAATATAATAAAATATAATTATATTTATATGAATTTTATATAATATTATATTATAATATTGACAGTATATTTTTTTATAACATATAGAGTAATTTAATTATCATATAAATTAATTTAAAAGTAAAATATTATGCATAGCACATGATATAGCTGGATAGAAATACGAAGTCGCCATATGGATTTTCTATAAGATTTAGATATATAATATTTATGTATATATTTAATTACTTTTGACTCTTAAATAATAATTAAATATTATTA